TCCCACGCTCATCGTTTCACGCATCTTCTCGGTTATGCGGTTGTACTTCGCCACGAGTACCCCCGCGTACTGTCCCCTCGTCTGTCGTTGGGACCGCCGCTCCCTAAACATTTGGAAGATATCCTCTTCCGGCGTCCATCTACCTCCTCCGAAAGCCTTCTTCAACCGCTCCTTAATCACCGGCCACGGAGTCTCCTCGTCCGCTTGAATCTGGTTCAGGACGTTCCTCCTTACTCGGCACACAAGAGCTGCTTTTAGTGCTTCTGCGCCCCCTAGGTTCACCAGGTCTTCCGCCACCTTTACCTCGATTCTTGACATGAGGCGATCTCCGCCTTTCAAGAAATGGTTGAGCTCACCTACCTCGCCTCCTGGAACAGGTCCGCAATGGCCCTCCGTAAGTCCTGCGTAGTTGTTGCTCTTATTTTCATCCATTCCAAGGCGTTGGCGTGCGCTTCTGCCAACGTGTCCCTCGGTAAGGGAGGGATCTCCTGGATCTGAGGGATCTGTGCTATCTGAGGGATTTGAGGTATCTGAGGTACCTGAGGCGTGATCTGGGGTACCTGGTTGATCTGAGGGATTTCCTGAGGTTCGGTCGGCATCTCTCCTTTTCCTTATGGCTAAATAAAAAAAATATACTTAGCAAAAAAAAAATTACTTGTTGTGCTTCCCTGACGTTGTCCCGGGTTTCGGCACCAGTTAAGCGTCGTCGGACTTCAAAAATAAAAAAAAAGAAGGAAAGGGATAGAGATGCAACACTCACGGCTTCTGAATAAACACTGCTTTATTCGTTCAATAATTCTCCTTATATACATTTAGCATGTTTGTTTACATTGCCAGATGGTATTAAGGCTGATATCGCCAGTCTCCGGTCTTTATCTTATATATATATATATATATATATATATATATATATATATATTTTTTTTTATTTTTTTTTTTTTATTGAGTATTAATACAGTCTGCCACACTGAAGGGCATTGGTACTAGGGCTATAGTATTCATTCACACAATATGTACATAAGAAAGGAAAGAAAAAAAAAAAAATATATATATATATATATATATATATATATATATATAAATAAATAAAACGATAAAGTAATATACAAGATAAGTAAAATAACCGAATAATAACAAAATAAATAAAACACATTCACACCTATGTACAATATTTACATTGGCCCAAGGGACTTCGAATCAAGCTTTGTCCCCCAACTGTGGAAGCCAAAGCAGGACTCCAGGAGATCCCAGTGCTTCTCTCCCAGCCGCGTCACTGGTATAGTAAGCCAGTGGAGACTGATGGAGGGAACTTGAGCTACAGACGCTCAGGACATGAGTGAAGAATCTGGCCAGTGCCAGTACTCCAATATATACATTTTTACACAAGGTCGCGGGACTACTGCCATTTTAACCTCCGAGGAGGATTGTAGGAATGACTGGAGATAGAGTGAGATTCTGGTGCAATTTGGAAAAGTGGTTTGAGATTAGGTCAAGTACAAATGGGATATTAAGGTCATTGTGTAGGGTTTTATTGTTTACATAAAAGGGAGCATCGACTATTGTTCGAAGAACTTTAGACTGGAAGGATTGAATGCGTTTGATGTTAAAAAGTTTTGCTGCCCCCCATAGTTCGAGTCCGTAGGTCCAGGATTGAGATAGGTTTCAGGATTGTCTTGTAGATTGATAGTTTGTTCTCAACTGAAAGTTGAGGTTTTCTATTGAGTAGTCTATATAGTTTGCCGTTGTCTTTTAAGTCTGGTATCTGGGTTCCATGCTAATCTTTTGCCTAGAAGGAATCCAAGGTACCGAACTGTGTCGGAGAGGGGAAGTGGTATGGAGTTGAAATAAACTGGTGGACACGACTTGGGCCAAAGGGTGAAGGTGGTGCGTTTGGATTTAGATTCATTTACTTGGATGCGCCACTTATTACTCGAGTGTTCAATAAGAGAGAGGTGACTTTGTAGGTTAAAGGATGCTGTTTCGGGATCTGAATTGGAAGATAAGATGGCCGTGTCATCAGCGAATGTTGCCAGGAGAGTTTCAGGATGAGTAGGAATATCAGCGGTAAATAGAATATAAAGGATAGGACCCAAGACGCTCCCTTGAGGAACACCCGCCTGAATTGAATAGCACTTGGAAAATTTACTTCCACAGCGGACCTGAAAGGAGCGGTCAGAGAGATAGGATCGAAGTACCAGATATAAGGACTGAGGTAGATAGGTTTTAAGCTTGAAGAGCAATCCGGTGTGCCAAATGCTTGCGCAATGTCCAGAAATGCACCCGAGCAATATTGCTCGCTTTCTAGGGCTGAGGATATATGGTCAACAACTCGGAGGCTTTGTTGGACAGTGGAATGTGGGGAACGAAATCCGAATTGGTGGGTAGGAAGGTTTTGGAATTCTATAATGGGTAGGATACGTTTCAGTTGAATCTTTTCAAAGATTTTTGATAGGATGGGAAGTAGGCTTATTGGTCTATAGGAAGTTGTGTTATTAGAAGGTTTACTTTGTTTCAGAAAAAGGATGATGACAGAATGTTTCCATAAGAGAGGAAAGTGGGTAGTTCGTAGGATACAATTGTATATATAAGTAAGGAATATGATTGCTTTGGACGGAAGTTGCCGAAGGATATGCGGGATTAGAAGGTCGTATCCAGGAGATTTGCGGGGAGATAGTTTTGGTAAATGATGTTTGACCTCAGAAGGATTAACTGCTTTTGGTGGTAAGGAGAGTGGGATGGGTGAAGAGAGGAATTCTTCTACTATTGCAGTGTGGGTAGGATGGGATTCCGGATGAGGAGTGAATGTGCAGGAGAGGTGTTTGACGAATTCCTCAGCTTTGTCTTCATCTGACGCCGCCCAGGAGCCATCACTTCGTCGGAGGGGATGGGAGACATAGTGGGATTTTGGGATTTTTTTGGTGATATTCCAAAGGGAATTATCATGAATGGAGAGAGATGTACGGTAGGAGTTAAAGGATTGGGATCTGGAGTAGGATAATTCCTGCTTCAGTTGCTTACAGTAATAATTATAGTAACGGCGATCGGCTGGATGTCTGGTGCGTTGCCATAATGATCTGGCACGGCGTTTGATATGGATTAGGTCGAGATGTTGAGGTAAGTTATTTTTTTGAAGGATTTTCGGAGAGTGATTTGGGGAGGAAGCATTCCAGACTGCTTGTTGAATCATGGTGGTAAAGGAATGTACGGCATTGTCAAGGTCTTCTGCGGTTTTCAGGGTTATTGTGAGGTCAATTTGATCGGAAAGGATTTGCTGAAAGAATTTCCAGTTGACTGGACCTCTCATGAAGGATGGTGGGGAGGGTTTAGGAATAGGAGCTAGTGATACTTGGAGTATTATAGGACTGTGGTCGGATGAAAGGTCATCAAGACAGGTAAGAGAATGATTGAGGGGACCTAAACCACTGTGGATGAAGAAATCAAGGATATCAAGATTGCGGTTAGTACAGTAGGCCAGTAGGTAGGTGAGTTAGGAGGAAGGAGGCAGAAACGTTGGGAATTGAATGCAGACAGCAATGTTCTACTACGAGAGTTCGTGGTTCTTGAACCCCACTCTTGATGCTTTTAGTTTAAGTCTGCACCCACGATGAAATAATGTTCTAAGGAATTGAGGAGGGAACTAAATTGGGCATTGGAGATAGATTGGTTAGGAGGGCAATACGCTGATGCAACGGTAATAGGAAAGGAGAAGGTTTTGATTATGATAGCAGTGGATTCGAGGAAATCGTGGGTTGGTGTTGGGAGTAGGTGATGAGAGAGAGCTTGGTGTACAAGGACAGCAGTACCGATATAGAAAGAAAAACGGAATAGGGTAAAGAGGGAGAACGTGAAAATTAACGATAGGATGGGAGAAATCAAAATAGGGTGCAATAAAGGGAAGGAGTTGCTGCGTTATGAGAGCCCATTCAAGGTGATAGTGATTCGAGAACATAATATTCTCACAATTCAGAGTTTGAGTGACTCCAGGAAAAAGAGGACTGTTCATGTTGAACAGTTAAAATTACCTATGGCCGATTCAAAATTGCCGGATTAAGTGTGGTAGATCCTCTTTTCCTAACTCTCGATTGTGTGGACAGGAGTGTAAATAGAAAATTAACAAGATGTAATTATTTTATTTTTATTTTATTCTTGTTTTCTTCTTTTATCAGTGAATTTCATAGTATTATAAAACTTGTAATACGTTTATTTTTTATCTTTCTTTAAGAAAGGTATCCATATACTTGAGGGGGTAGGGGAGTTATGGTTGTTAGCCAACTAATATTGTCTTTAATCCCATAGAGATTATGTGAACAAAAGCCTAATACTATATATAGAGGATTACTTGGGAAATAAAGTCAGTCTTTAGCAAGAAATTGAGTGTGTTCTTTCGTATCCCTTTTATTTTTTTATTATTTCTTGTCAGGATGATCGAAAGTTATATATATATATACAATACACACCTACATACATTTTTTTTTATTTGGGATTTCCACAACTTAAGGAGTCATGTCCCCAACACCCAAAAACCACTTCTCTATGTCCATCCAATCCCCTTCACGGAGCCCTTTAGCTGACATGCATTCCTCCACATCCTCTATCCATTTCTTCTTTGGTATTCCACGCTTCCTTCTTTCAGGTGGCATATAGTTATAAAGTTTCTATGGCCCGCGGTTCTCATCTATCCGCATTAAGTGGCCATTCCACATAACCTTTTGATCAGGTGAAGGATGTTGTTTTGACATCTGCGTTTGGGTTCCGCTTGATTCTAGATATGTATATATAAACCCAAAATTGTTCTATTTATTTTATTTTTTTGTACATATGGTGTGAATGTCATCCTACCTCACTATAACCAATGTCCAACAGACAGATTGTTATAATACTCAATAAAGAAATTTAAAAAAAAAAAAAAAAAACCCAAAATTAACATATTAACTAAATTAAATGTACATGTTAAATTAAATAGTTTTAAGTGTGTATAACTTAAATATTTTTTGTCATAGGTTCCTGTTCTTAATTTTGGATTCTGTTATTATTTTGAGACTCTTTTGACTTGTCTCATACCTATTTCATCAACACTCCAAGTGATGGTCATTTCTACATCATCAGTTCTTCTTTCAACTATAGCCAGTATGCCTAATAGTATGTATTCAAAAGTTTTACTTATCGATTTTGTTTAGTTCTTACAAATAAAATTTTCCCGCCTGAACGTTTATTTTGTGAAATTATAAAATAAATAAATACAAAAAAATCCATAAATTAAACTCCCAAGACGTTAAATATAATGTCGGAAATTGCCTATGTTGTTTTGAATATAAAGTATAATATCTTTCATTAAAATTGATCTAAGTAATTTTTATGTTTATTAATTTTCGTTCTATTATTTTAATGTAACTGATATTTAAAACTTTATTACCCTTCCTTATTCTATTGTGTTTTATATTGATTCTGCTCCATTCATAAACACTTAACATTCCTAATTAACCTTTCTCCTTCACTTTCCTTTTTAAACAAGCTGTTGTTCAGGTCACCTCTCGCTTACCTACCTTTTTTTTTATAAATTTATAAATGGTCTACCTGGGTCCATCCATCAATCACATTGTCATTTATACATCCTTAAGTCAACCTTCTAATTTCTACATTCTTCATTTTCTCATTTAACATTCCTCTGTCCACTATTGGAACTGTAGATTGCAACCCACTTTTTTACTCCCTCTCATTGTAATGATTTTTTAACAAATCCTTCACTACTCATGCTAACGTTTTCTCTGGAATTCCTTTCTTGTTTCTGTCTGTAAAACCTCCTCTGTAGTATTCTATAAATCCCATTTACACCTTACCTTCTTAACACATATTCGTCCGCACAACGAAAATTCGTCATTTGTACATTACAGAAAATAATTGATTATTGTTTGTTTGTTGAGGTTTGAAGGCGTAAAACTTGAAGGCCATGAAGGCCTGTAAATTACTTTTATTTATCTCTTACATAAATTTAATTGATTCTCGTTCTTTTGAATAATAAATCAATATCAATATCCATAAATCAAATTCTAAGTTTTACCAAACAGAGATTGAGAGATGCATTTTGTGAATGGCGCTCACTGGGGTGAGCGTATAAGTACCTTGGAATTGGCTCTAACGTACTCAGAAATTTAAGTACACTGCTCAATTTTTTTCTGTTATGTTTTTGACGGTTTTGAATTTGTATTCAAGTAATTTGGTTGACAAGATGCATGCATTAAAAGTAAAATAATAAAATATTAATTTTTATTTTATCTTGAATTTAATTCTATAGGTAATATCTTTTTCTGTTTAAACGTTATTTGAGTACATATGAAATATTACTTTTATGATAACATGTTACACACTGTTGTATCACTGTAATCTTCCACTATAAAACAACTATAAATGAAATTAAAAAAATTATATATAAATAAATAAATGTAACTTCATAAAATTAATTTTTCAACTAACTTTCAAATTCACAATTAGAACGAAAAATGTTTGCTTTCTGTAATAATGTACATTTGTTCAGTTCGTACACTTGATATGATGAAATAGGAATCGGTTAAAATACTTTTAAAAATTTTTCTGTTATTATAAATCCTTGACTAGATAGATTAATAGGAAGTTTTTTTGTTTTTTTTTAATCTATTTATTGAATAATAATACAATCAGCCACTGCTGGAGGGCTATAAGCATTAGGGCTAAAAGTTCTAATTCATACAATATACACAAATAATAAATAAATAAATATAAATATAAGAAGTAAATAAATAATACTGATGAAGAAGGTAAATAAAAAGAAAAAAATAAACAAATAAAATAAAAACTTCTAAACACAATCATAACTATATACAATATATACATTCGCCCAAGAATCTCCGAGCCAGGCTTTTCCCCCACATGTGGAAGGCAAAGCACGACTCCGGATCCCAGTGCCACTTTTCCAGCCGCATCACTAGTATCAGAAGCCAGTGGAGACTGAAAGAGGACACTAGAGCCACAGACGCTCAGGACATGAGTGGAGAAGCTGGCCATTGCCAGGACTCCAAAGGCATATTTACGAAAGATCTCGAGGCCACTGCCGTTTCAACCTTCGAGGGGGATGGTATAGATGCTCGGAGCTGGATAGGGATTGAGCTAGAGGATTGGGATGATGAATAAGGTTCTGGATAAGGTGAAAGTTACATGTTTGCATTTTGATTCATTAATTTTGATGCGCCAGTTGTTGCACCACTGCTCAATGAAGGAGAGGTGTCTTTGCAGGTTTCGGGATGCTATTAGAGGATCTGAGTGGGAGAATAGGATGGCAGTACCATCAGCAAATGTTGCTAGGAAGGTATCAGGACTTGAAGGAATGTCAGCGGTGAAAAGGATGTAGAGAACTGGCCGTGTTGGACAGTGGAATGTCTTAAGCGGGAATTGGAAATTGTGGGATTCGAGAATGGGTAGAATGCGTTTGAGAAGGATTTTCTCAAAGATTTTGGAAAAGATCGGAAGTAAGCTTATCGGTCTATAGGATGATGTATAATTAACAGGTTTACCTGGTTTAAGAAACATGATAATTATGGAGTGTTTCCACACCAGAGGAAAGTGGATTGTGCGGAGGATACAGTTGAATAGGTATGTAAGGAATATAATTGCTTTTTTGGAAAGTTGTCTGAGGATCTGGGAAGTAAGGAGATCGTGTCCCGGAGATTTGCGAGGTTTTAGTTTCTTTAAAAGAAATTTGACCTCAGAGGGGTTGATGGCTGTAGGAGGTTAGGAGAGAGGAATCGGTGAAGAGAGGAATTCTTTAACTTCAGCAGTATGGGAGGGATGGAGGTAGTCATGGAATATACTGCTTCATCTAGGTCTGCAGGGGTTTTTAAAGAAACTCTGAGATCAATATTATCATCCAGTATTTGACGAAAGAGGTTCTAATTAACTGGCTCCCTGATAAATGAAGGTGGAGGTGATTTGGGAATCGGTGATGTGGAGACCGTTAGGATTAGGGGACTATGGTCTGAGGAAAGATCATCAAGTCTTGAAATGCAATTATTAAGGGACCCTAGACCTTTGTGGATGAAAAAATCTAGGAGATCGGTATTGCGGTTAGGATCTGTTGGCCAGTATGTGGGAGAATTGGTTGAGAGGATGTTGCTGTGATGGGAATTAAGTGTATACAGCAATGTTCGTCCTCGGGAATTTGTGGTTCTAGCTCCCCATTGCTGGTGTTTAGCATTTAAGTCTGCACCTAGAAGGAAGTGGTGTCCTAAGGAGTTAAGGAAGGAAGTTAATTGGGATTCTGAGATGGGTATTTTAGGCGGGGAGTATGCTGCGACTACTGCTATTGGGTACATGGAAGTTTGGATTATCACGCCAGTGGATTGTAGATAATTATGGGTTAGCAAAGGGAATAGATGATTGGAAACGGATTGACGGATGATTATGGCAGTGCCAGCATGTGCTGTTCCATCAGGATGATGCGGTTCGATAGATATGATAGTTGGTAAGTCGAGTTTCAGTTATTAATGCTATATCAATGTTTTTGTCCTGTAATAAGATTGTTAGTTCGCTGATGTGATTTCGAATACCATTCGCATTCTAAAGGAGAACGGAGAGGGATTTGAATAGGGACATTTAAGGATTTCTCGGCAGTGGGATGAGGTTGGATACAACATTGGTAAGTAAGGAAATGAGAGGAGTGATGAGTGACCTGAATTCAGAGAGGAAAGAAGTCAATAGGCTTGTGAGGTCAGTGGCATTGGGAGGAGGAAGAATGAATGTCTGGTTATTAGGCCTAGGTTCAGAGGTGGGATAAGGGTCTTGAGGTTGAGATGTGAATACTCGAGGTTGAGGTTCTTGTGGCGGGGCCTGTGGGTGCAGGGAGTTTGTGTGGGTGCAGTGTCTCGTTTGAACATCTGAGCATAGGACACTCTTGTATTTACAGTTCTAAAGGGTTGTCTTGGTGGCCTGGATGACCGTTCTCCTCTTGGAGCTGCATAAATTCTTGCTTTCAGTTCCTTATATGTTTGTAGTTCGCTGGGTAGCCTTGATGGCATAAAGCGCATAGTGCTGGTGTTCTTCTGGACTTCTGGCAGTCCTCTGTTTTGTGTTAATCACCGCACCTGACACATCTAGGAATCTGGTGGCAATAGCGTTTCGTATGACCATAAGTCTGGCAGTTATGGCATTGTACAATGTCGCGCTTAGTGTAGGGCTTTTTTACAACAACGCTTGTGTAATAAAAGCGTGTGACCTTGTAGATGTCTTCAAACCTGGGGCGTTCGGTGAAGGTCAACGAAGAATAGTGGGAGCGGTATTTTATTTTTTGTGCCAGGCTGTTCTCTATCTTCGTTGAAAATATTCACTATTTGGCGAACACGGAACCCCATCTCAGTTAGTTCTTCTTTAATGGCATCCAGCGGTGTTGATGGGTGTAATCTCTTGATTACCACCCTAAGCGCTCTCTCTTGGCGCAGCTGATACGTATGATAATCCGCCTTAGTGTCAGATAAATACTTGACAATTTTTCTGTACGTATCTGAGGTATCAGGCATTAATTCGTTAATTAGTGCGACTTTGGCATAAGTATTTACCTGAGCCCACTATATTATTTTATTGTAGACACATTAATTGGATTTTTTTATATTTCTAACGAATATTGGTGGAGGTTTAGTTTCACTAGGGGTGGGTACTGCTTCCATTTGTTCATTCTGTGTGTTTGACAGCATTTGGAATGAATTAGCTGTAAAAAAGGGCGATTCTTCTAACATATCTTGTATTGGTATAGCTTGTGTGTGACATATTTTGTGTTGATGTACCAGGTTGATTTTCGACTTCGTCTACTGAGCTCTCTGGTGTAGCTAGCGGGGTATTTTTTTTAGAGAGTCTAGCCCTTTTTTTGATAGATGAACTCTTTGTGGTATCGAGACTCCTAGATCTTAAAGTTGGATTTTTACCTTTGCTCGACATTACCATGTGAAAATAGCGCATCTCATATTAATTTAAATAGAGGTAAATGTAATAATTTGCAAAAAAAAAATGTCCTTTAACAATTACGTATATATTACGCGAGTTTGTAGAAGTCTGGGGAACATAGACTTCTGCAGAAGGGCAGTAGCCCAGTGGTCGGATTAGCAAATGTATATGGCCGGCTTGTTATCTATCACTATCCTCAGGTCTATTTACACTGTCCACAATGCCGTTATAAATAAGTGATTACTCACCTTATTTATGTCCAGTTTCAACTTAATTGTTAACTTAACAGTTTACACTACTTTTTCACATATAACATGAATTATTTCACTTGTAATAAAGTCACTTTATGAGAGACGAAATAGAGAGTGTATGTGTAAGGTTAACGCATGCGCAGAACTATTGGAGTTCTGGCAATGGCCAGATTCTCCACTCACGACATGAGTGTATGTAACTAAATCACTCTCGCTCAATCTCCACTGGGTTTAGCCCCAGTAACGCGATTGAGAGAGAAGTGCTGGGATCTACTGATGTTATGCTTTTCCCTCCACAGTTGGAGAGAAAAGTTTGGCTGTGAGTTCTCTCGCCTGATTGTAAATAGTGTATGTAGGTATGTTTGTGTTATTTTTTATTTATTTATTTTTAGATTACTTTATAATTTTTTATTGTATATATATTATTATTACTGTACATAGAGTGTCAATGTGATCTCTGAACATTATTATCAATGTCTTTTCAGACAGATTGTAATATTTTCAATAAACAATTTTTTTTAAAAATTACATTTTATAGACAATAATTACATGCTTTTGCTCTGAATGATCTTTTACTCTTGAATAAGCAGATTATCTTATTTAAACGCTTCCCAAACCTAGATCTGTTATCTGATGTTCACTGAAGATATATAAGAAAATATATCGGTATAAAAGTAAATTATGGTACATGATTTGGGTAAAATGTTTTTACTAAAAATAAGTTGAAAATAAAAAAAAATGTTTCAGATGATGATAAATTAATGGAGATTGTTCTAAGTGTCAGTAAATAGTTATTTTTTGAATGATAACTTTTTTTTCAGAACTGAACAGTTCAAATTATATATTTATTTTTATTATGTACAAATACTTTGATGCTTGTTATATATTTTTTTCCAGCTGCTGGAATAATTGAATAAACTAAATACTTCTTCATCACTCTTATTTTAGAAAGTAATACTGAGAATTATTGATATGAATGGGTGAGAGTACATCAAGCCTTATTTATTAAATATGGGAATTATTTTTAATGTATTTCCTTTTATATCTTTAAGTCAAAATAGAACTTTTATCTGTTAGTATTTGAGGAATATTCAGTTTTGAATATTCTTAGATTGAATATTTTCCAATTTAGAAACAAATTCATATCAAAAGACTACTTTTCAAAATATATCAGAACAATCTTCACATTCAACTTCATTATTTGTTTATTTTATTAATTTATTTTTAATATACCACAAATATACCAAATTATATGGTTACAGTTGTATTTTACCACAAATATTTCACATTATTTACAATATTTACAAAGTTAGGAAAACTTTAGGTAGTAAATTTCTGTCCCTATCATTGTCAAATAATCTAATTTTAACCCCTAACTTTGTGCCAAAATTCAACAACTGTTATAAAAATACATAATTTAAGATAAATAAACATTATATCTGAGTTACTAATTTATTTATTATCTTCTGTGGCTAGATACAAATGATTTATATATATATATATATATATATATATATATATATAATATATATATATATATATATATATATATATATATATATATATATATATATATATATATATATATATGTATATTAAGCCTGATACTGTCCAACTCCTGTCCTTATCTTGTAATATATATAAGATTCGTATATATAAGATTATAAATATAAGATTATAATATATATAAGATTATAAATTCATGTATATATGAATTGTTAGTCCTTATCTTATAATATATAATATATAAATATTATAAGATAAGGACAGGTGTTGGACAGTATCAGGCTTAATACTATCCTAGAATATAAACAATGTATATTGAATCTTAAATGTATATAAGAAGGATTGCTTTACAAATAAAGAAGTATTGTTTCTGAAGCCGCGTGTGTTGTATCTCAACCTCTTTCCGTTTTTTTTTTTTTATTATTTTAATCTACCGTCGCATAAGTTATATATATATATTATTATATCCAATATATATATATATATATATATATATATATATACATATATACAAGCAATATATAGCAATATATATATATATATACATATATACAGCAATATATATATATATATATATATATATATATATATATATATATATATATATATATATATATATACATATATACAAGCAATATATAGCAATATATATATATATATATATATACATATATACAGCAATATATACATATATATATATATATATATATATATTGCCTGGACCAGGTAGAGGACAACCTGAAAAAGGATGGGAATTCAATTATGAAGAATGCTCGCTTATATATATATTTATATTACAATGTTTTTTTTTATAATTCGACCTGTGTGTGTGTGTATTATAAAAATTATTAAAGTAAACTGTTAGAAAATCATACAATCTTTTGATTAATAAAATATACCTATTTTTTAAATTTATTGAATTTGTTATTAATTAACTTTTACTATGCTCTTACTTTTACTATGAATGTCCCATACTCTGAGCAACCAAGCTGGCTAAGGCATAATATGAGTTATAAGTCACACCATAGTCAGTTATTAAAGAACCTACCCACTCCTTCACTCTGCTTATTTTTGTTCTCTCAGCTCAGCCATCATTAACCGTCCAATGACATATACAATTTTTATTTTAATCTTATATTACATGAATTCTTTCATTACTTCATCAGGCAGAATAATAATTTATATGTATAGACACATATTCATGCGTCTGAAATAGATTCAAATTTGAATTGGGGTCATAATTTTATTGCTTTTTACATTTAGTAATATATTATAGCACGATATCACTATCAGGAGACCTTTTTACAGAACAGCCCTTGCTTTTCTGATTTTAATGATATTTTTTCAACTACATCAATTCCAATATTATATAGAATACACAGTAGAACCTCTGTATATTGAACTTCCATTTATAAAAAATGTATATATATATATATATATATATATATATATATATATACATATAATTTAACATATATATATATATATATATATATATATATATATATATATATATATATATATATATATATATATAATTGTAATTGTAATTGTATTGTAATTTAATTGTATTTTGTAATTACTTGTATAATTGTAATTTAAAAGAACCGTTTGTGTTCATAAGAATGGATAATAATTAAAAAGAAAAAAAAAAGTCACTTGGCAAAATAATGATTTAGTTATTGAAAATTCTGAAAATGTTGGAGAAGATTAGAAATATTTAAATCCTTAAAGTTTCATATTTAATAAAATTGAAAAAGTTATATTTAAATACAATACATGTGAATATACTACAACTTAGCCATTTTTAAATGTCCAATGGTTTTTGGACTTTAATGGAAAAAGTATAGAAAATCATTCTTTATGTCTACCCAGTTTTTTTCAAAGAACCTTCATGTTCATTATATAGATTTTTGACTGTTTGTATATATATAAATGCATTATTTTAACCACTGTTATTAAACAACATACAATCAAAACTAACCTTTCTAATTACAACATAATTGTTCATGTGCTGAATTTAATAAAATAAATTGTAATCAAGTGATTTAATAATTATTCTATATCTATTATTACCATTATTGTAAGAAAATTATCATTAACACATACAAAAAAAAACTGATATTCATAATAATCTACTGGTAGTTTGCCTAAGCAATTTTTGCTGGTACTTCAAAGCAAAGCAAGTTGTCACCTGTGGCATTATTTGTTAAAGCCCAGCGAACAATGACTCTTATCTGAAAATAGTCAAATAAATATTAATACTTAGTTTTCCAATGATATTCATTAGTATAGTTAGCATGTCTTGTTTGTTGGTTATAAATAAAAAACACAGTAAAATATAAGTTATTAATTTATGAATTGGTTATACAAACCTATTATAACCTATTATAAATATACCAAATAATACACATTAAGGTAGGTTATTGAAATTTTAATAATCAAATATTCCTCAAAAAATTTGCATATTTATTTCATCCTCTAGGATAGCCTTCCTTAGCCTAAAACGTTTATCTCATTTTTTAAATAATTAATAACCTAAAGGTACTATTACGCTAGTATTTCCCGCGACAGTAACCGCCATTCTATACTGCCAAATGTTCATGCTTATCTATTTCGCTGAAACTACTCTAGCCAAATACTCTCGATTTAATAATTAGTTAATAACCTAAATATTAACTCGAGGTAATTACATAGTTTGAAATAAATTTAAATAAAAATGTTAGCCTTAAATTTAATTGTTTTCATTTGTATATGCAGGACAGGAATAAATATGAGATGGCGAACATCAATACCTATATTCTACAAAATGATGTTTCTTGTAATATTTTGAATAGAAAATATATAAATTCATGTTATAAAAAAGATGACAGATTATTATTTTAACAATTGAGGATCTATTTCTGAATTTAAATTTATTAATAATTATTAGTATGATTATTTCAGGTATCCAAATATCATATATTTGTAATGAAATCACAGCACAAAGTGTTTTACGGTTTAATCAATTGGCGCTTAGTAAATCAGTACTTTAATTACAAAAGACAAATTGAATTTTCAATGTCTAGATTTGAGTAGTTACCTGAGATCAACATTTTTTTTAATATTAATTCATTTAATGTCGTTTGGATTGAGAATATTTGAATTACCCTGTAAAATACTTTCGGTGTAATAAATAATCTCAATACTTGAACCTTTAAGAACGATTTACAATATCTTTGTTTAAATTTTAAACAATTTTTCATTTAATTTTGCCTGACTTCATGAAACAAAAAGGAAATGAAAAGCGATTATCATCATAACTTTTCTCCGAAATTATAACGTAACCTATAACCGCCGTACTGGCAACAGCTTCAAGAGCGGTGGAAGAGGAACAGTATAGATATGAGATCATAGATCATACCTAGATTGCCTAGCAGTGTCAACGAAATAGGTTCTTTTCTAATTCACTAAAGCAGTGCTCAACCACCAGCAATCGCTGCTGGGGGCAGTACCAACGAAATAGTACTATCAAACGTTTTTAGCAAGGCCATGTATTATTTCAAAATAATACAATTAAATAATTAGAATTAAAAACGTTTCAATTATGAAACAAAATTCATTTTGAAGTCTTGAAGAGTTTTTTTAGATACGACATTTAGGCTTAAGGTATTATTTTGCTGGTACTGCACACGGCAGCGACCGTAATTCCATACTGCCAACCGTTAATGCTTGTCTATTTCGATGAAACTGCGCGCCGTCACGGCCAAATCTTCCTAATTTAGTATCCTAGTTTAAAATAATTTTAAATAAAAATCTAGACTAAAATTTAATGGTTTTTATTTGAGCTGGAAAGATAGTAATACATATGATGGAAGAGTTTCGATCTTATTTAATTAATACACGACATTTTATCTGGTAGTTAAAGTTGAATAACAAGGTTAGGTTGTGCCTGTACTATAAAATGTTAACAATTGTCGACATATTAATGAACACCTACAAAATTATGGTAATATTTTGAATATAAAATATAAGTATTCATGGTAGAAATAAGATGATAAAGTATTATTTTAAGGACTATGAGTGTATCTCCGATTTTAAATTTATTACCTATTATTAGTTTGATAATTAATAATAATTACGACATAATTGATTGATAATAAATATTATATATTTGTAATGAAGGTACTTGTGAACGACGTGGTCTCCGATTTTAAATTTATTACCTATTATTAGTTTGATAATTAATAATAATTACGACATAATTGATTGGTAATAAATATTATATATTTGTAATGAAGGTACTTGTGAACGACGTGGTCTCCGATTTTAAATTCATTACATATTATTACTTTGATAAAAAATAATAATTACGACATAATTGATTAGTAATAAATATTATATATTTGTAATGAAGGTACTGGTGAACGACGTGGTCTCTGGTAAATCTACCTTCTTATCTTATCTTACGTCACCTTCTTATCTTATGTTACGTCACATAACCTGTCTTTTTTTCTAGGTAAGCTGTTTTATTTAGGACTACCTTTATATCTAGGACCGGTTCCTTGCTATTTTAAATAGCATTAAGCTATTTTGAGTTGTAAAATAAATCAAATGAAAGTGTTTTGTTATTTATATTTCTTTTTAATATATATATATATATATATATATATATATATATATATATATATATATATGTATATATGTATGTGTTTATATATATAATACTTCGGGGCTGGGGTAGCCGTACGGGCTAAGACGCTTGCAACAGGTAATTAAAGTTAAGCTACGTCGAGCGTGGTTAGTACTTGGATGGGTGAACATCTACCAGGGAAAGCATGCTGCCCGAGCCCTCTTCCCCCCCGGGTATGTGAGCCCGTCACCCTACTGGAGACAACTCACACTGACCGGGCGTAGGACTGACGATAGAACTGACCTACCCCGTGTACTAAAATCGGGAATCGAGATGTGGTTTACCAGGATGTTCATAGCCCCCCTGAGGTTCGGTCCATGGACGGTCTGTTTCGGGGAAAGAAATATAGGTCCTCGTGCGCTTGATGACTCCGAGCAGCCATAATTCATGGATATAGACCGATTTGTCACTGTCCTTGAACCCGAGAAAGTCAGTGGGAAGGACATTGCCAGATTGGCCCCAAAGAGGATCGGCTATGGAGCTACGGGTGGCCTGCCGCTTCACCATGGAAGCCATGGTTTGTAGCAACGTGAGGTTGGGTGACCCCCTCCAGGCTATCTGAGCTCCCGCAAGTATCACACGTCTGTAAGGAGACCACATCTCGCGGCCAAAGATCTTCATGGTCTGTAGTGCCAACGGAAAATATATATATATATATATATATATATATATATATATATATATATATATATATATATATATATATATATATATATATATATATATAATACTTTACATTTTAATTATACTATTAACCACTACATCACTGATGTCATCATATTAGTTCTTTTATTTCTTTATCAGACAATGTTACTTATTTAATATCTACTACTAATAATTCATTTGTTTCATTTTAACTTTGTAGCTTTTATAAAACCTTTCTGGGTCATCTCTAAACACATCCCCGGTCTGGACAAAAAGAATTGGCAATCCTAATTCAGCTCGATAACGACGTTTAAGATCATCGGTATCTTTACGTTCAGCTTCTTGATGGTCAACCATAGTAATTTGTCAGTATTTGATTGGTTTTATGTTAAATTAAGTAAATTTTGAATTTTGTATTTTTTAATTTCAGCTTTTACTTGTTTAGTTAACTTGTTGTAATAAGTTTTATCTGATGGGTATCTAGTCCTTTGTCACTTCGTTCATGCTCTGCGTTTTTCCCTTAATAAAATACGAATGTGCTGTGTCAAGTTTGTCTGTTGGGAATTGTTAATTTTAGATAGATGTGTTGTCGTTTATTGTGTCTCTTGTAGATGATGTAAGTAATTCTATCGCTGTGTCAATGTCATCTTTTGTCTTGAGTGGGATACAATATTGCATCTCTCTATGGCCCCCAAACATACTTATACACTTATACAAACAATTATTTTTGGAGCCTTTTGGTGAGATCTCAAACATACTACGGAAATAAAAAACAATTATTTTTGGTGCCAAACATTCCACGGCACCAAATAAATAGAAAACAATAATAATTCTACGGTAATAAAAATACGTAGACAATTATTTTTAGGGTCCAACGGAGGATTCCCAAACATACCGCGGAAATGAAAAAATGAAAAACATTTATTTTTGGAGCCAAACCTACCACGACACCATATAAATACAAATTAACTATTTCTGGGTAATTGGAGGGAGCCTCCTATTATCCTACGGTGATTAAAACAATTATTTTTAGTACTTACTAGAATTACCCCAAAATTTACAGAAATGAAAAAATACAAAAACGCTATTCTTTAAAAACCAAACATACCACGGAACTAGAAAAATATAAGAATAATTTCCGGAACCTCTTCCACCCCCTCTGACTTGGGGGCCCTCGGCGACCGCCGGTTTGTATTTCTTTTAGTGTGGCACTAATTCAGTTTATTTATCGATTGACTTTCTAATTTTTGATAATCCCCCAACACGAGGCAGCACCGCAATTATGCTCCAGTAATTATTATTTTTAGTAGTGTGAATAAGGTTGACCGTGATTATATTGTAATATGAGGAGTTGGTCAGGAGCGTGGCCAAATTAAATAATATATACTACAATAGTATTTTATTGGTTACGCTGATGTTTCGACCCACTTTGTAGGTCCTCATAAGGGCTACAAAAGATACAAATTATAAAAGCTACAATTAAAATAAATGAATGAATTATTACTAGTAGATATTAAATAAGTAACAGTTGTCTGATATAATAAATAAAAGAACTAATACGATGACATCAGTGATGTAGTGGTTAATAGTATAATTAAAATGTAAAGTATTATATATATATATATTTATATATCAATACACTGACAGGTCTATGGTTTTTAATTAATAAATAGGTAATCTTTTTGTTTGTTTTCAATTAGGAATGTTAATATAGAGGACAATAACCCTTAATCCTTAATTTAATGAAATGATTCTAGATTCCAATGTTTACTTTCTATGGAATCAAAATGTTTATTCAGTATCAGTAGTTCAGTGCCGTTCTTGCAGCACATTTCTTAGTCTCCGGCTTTTAATTTTTTCAATATTTTTTTTTTTTAACTTTTATTATGATATTTAAAACTGTATTAGTATGAATACATCAAGTAAATGTGTACATAGGAATATTATCACATGAAACACGCTTGTTGAGAAACTACCCATTGGTAGCACTCTAATAATTTGTCTACATGAGGAGATCACGAGGCCATCTCCTTTTCAGACGCCTCGGAGGGTTATAAGGAATCAAAGAGGAACCAAGGTTAGAAACAAGAGGATTCGGATGGTTATGAAGTTTATTATGGAAGGATAGGTATCTGGATTTGGCCAAATCGGAAACATATGGAACATTGAAGTTTTTTCAATATTAAGTTTAAAAATGCCTCTTAGTGCTGAGGATGTTGCGCGTGGTGTGGCACTTATTGATGATGGACGTTCCATTAGATATGCAGCTAATGCCATCGGAGTTCCATATGAAACGTTACGAGACGCCGTCAGGCGTTTTCGGGAAACTGGTTCTTACAATAGAACGCCCGGTTCAGGACGGCGATCGGAGAAGATTAAATGAGTATGGATTAATGGCTTTCCGTCCAGTAAGAGAACCAGAGTTGACCAGAACTTACAGAGTAACACGGCTGGCTTTTGCTCGAGAACACAGCCATTGGACTATGGAAGAATAAAGTGCTGTATTTTTTTACATATGGGTCAAGATTCGCTCTTCGATCTCCAGAGGGGCGTGAAAGGGTGTGGAGAAGAAGAAACGAAAGATATGCAGCCTGTAATTTTTCCCAGAGCCAACCTTTTCAACGTGGTTCCTTAATGGTGTGGGCTGGGATTTCAATGGAGCGCCGCACAGAATTGGTTGTTGTTCGTGGAGGGTCTTTGATGGCCATTCGCTATGTAGATGAGATTTTGGAACCTCATGTGTTGCCTATCCTCAACGAAATCGGCGATCGATCTATTCTAATGCACGATAATGCACGCCCACATGTCGCCCGCATAGTGAAGACGTTCCTTCAACAGAACAATATTGAGGTTTTAGCCTGGCCAGCACGTTCTTCAGACTTGAACCCCATTGAGCATTTATGGGATAACCTCGGAAGACGAATAAGAGCGCGTGCCTTATTTAAGGACCTTGAAAGGGCTCTTCGGGAGGAAAGGGCTATCCTCCAGCAAAGGGACATTTCCCGACTGGTGGAAAGGATGCCGAGGCGTCTTCAAGAAGTAGTGAAGGCAAGGGGAGGAAACACGCGCTACTAAACGATGAAGTAATTAATTTCTTTTAGAATAATAATGGCTCGTTTTTCAATTTTTTTTTCTCTAATCTTTCTTACCCAATCACATTTTGATTTTTAAAGGTAAAAAAGATTATAAAATTCCATAAATACTAAGTATTATCTACAAATACCATGTATTATATACAAATACAACTTTTTTTACAAGTGGGTGAAATATTTTTAGATGAAAAAATCAAGTGGGTGGAATTTTTTGCCTGTCAGTGTATATCCGGGGACGGTCATCGTCTCGAACCCTTAGGTTTGAGTCGTGTCCCTCATTGACTGCGGAGGTGCAGGCATCCTCCTGTACATCGGCAGGCAATGTAAAGCCGTAGCGATCGTACGATTGCGGAGCCTGAGACCAATCGTGCTCTGAGGTCAGGGAAGCAGTGCTTCCCGACTAAATTGGTACTACGGGGCGTCGCCGGAGCCCCGTATGGGTGGACGGCGAGAGTGCTTGCACTGTTCGGCCGTGGCGGTCGTAGTGGTCGATGAGTTTACGACTACTCGCTGCACGACACCAGTGTTCAGCTAGCCTTGACGTTGTTCAGGCTATCTTCTGGTACAATGTTTGGACGAGTGGACGGAAGTTATGGTAGTAGTGTTCGTCTGATTCCGTGGGCACCTGTTGTGTGCCTGCATTCTTGTTGGTGTACCCGGTCCAGGGAGTTAGGCTGGAGGCCGGTTAAGGCTCGCGCTAGGTATGGCTTCCAACCGATGCTCCCTTGGTCCATAGAGTACCCGGTGGTACTATGTCAGTGTATATAACACTTTACATTTTAAGGAAGTAAAAATCAAGCGGGTAAGACGGACCCCGGAAAGTTTTTTTTTCGAAACTGACGTAAAAAACATATTTTGGTAGAACCAATTTAAGTTATTGGAAACATGATTCGGCCGATTAATCAGTATTTAGCACAGTTAAATATGCTATTTTCAGGAAAATTCTGATATATTGTTAAAAGATAAAAAAACGACTTGCAATTCAGTGGCATTTTCAAAATGGACATACTCAAACGTGTCCATTTTTGGTATTTTGCTCGATTTATAAATGTTCGGAATTGTTCCTAAAATATTTTGTTTCCAATGCACTTCACCGTATCAGAAATACAATTCAAATATGGTTTTGCCGATTAAACCAGGTTGTCTTAAGCTATTGATTTTCACTCACCTTGTCACTCTGATTACTGTACGATCTGTTGATTGGAACTCAATAATTCGATAGCTTTAAGGCCATCAATTTCAAATGTAAATTTGAATTGAAGTTCTTACCAAGCATTTAACCAGATATTAAAAGCTTTCATTGAATTTTTAAGAAATTCCAATAAATTTAAATCGATTCGATAGACTTAACAGTTAGATAGACAACAATTAAATAGACTTAACCAAAATTAGTTTTTGGTGCCATTTTTGGAAACCCGCCTTTCAAGGTTGAAAGATTTACGTTTACTCACCATGGCATTGTTGAATAATTTTTATTTATTTATTTAGACATATAACGATCTGTCTCGTGGACAGTAAAAATATTTTAGAAATAATGAACAATGACTATTTTAGAAACAATTCAAGCCTTTAAAAGGTTGGTTGAATTGAACTAAAAAATGTGACGCGTTTGACTCAGGGTTGAAAACGCACCTGTTCATAACTTTACTGTGTGCAATATGACTTGTATAAAATCTGCTGGTGTTTATCTTTCCGTTGAACGAAACCTCAAAATTTGATCAAAATTTCCACCGAAAATGCACCGGGTCTGGAAGAAAGGCATGGCGATCCTAATTCTTCTCGATAAAGATCATCGGTTGTGTTACGTTCGTCCATTGAATAAATTTATCATTAGCTCCTAGTACAGCACTCACACATGCGACTGTAGAGAATACACTTACGTAGTTATTATAAGAAATATCTACATGCTTACAACGTTTACTATAAACTTAAACCATCTATTATGTGAAGAAGAATATGAATATTTATTGGCATTCATAAATTACATATCAAATTAATAATCAATACATATATTACTATATCATAACAATTATAAAAGGAGATAAAATGGTGTTACGATGGAAACTTGATATATAATCATGACATAAAAAATATTCTAGTTTTTATATAAATATTTGACCTATTTTTATATAGTACTTGTAAATCGTCAGTTTTTTTTCAAAAATGTTGTGGAAAAAAATCATAAAACATTAAGTTGAAATTTCATCTTTTTGTCCACTGTTCACTGCTCTTGTTTCTCTTCAAAATTCCACGATTTTTCTACGTGATATTGGGGTGAAGGTGATCGGCAGAGAGAGTTTAGCATAATAAGCTAATGTATTCACGGCATTAAAATCAAAATATTGACTGTTGAATATTTTTGAAATATACGTAGTTCATCTTTTAGACACTGTTTTAAATAGATAAATGATGTATGTATGTTACCTTGGGATATATTTCTAATACTTTAAAGCCATTCCGATACTGATAGGTTTGACCAGCTTTTAATGGACACCCAACTTTAGTTTTTCCGTCCTCAGAGTATATATTAGAACATGCACTGGTTCTGTCAACGCCAATGAACGGGAATGGCACTCCCAAAATATAAGCTGATGCTGCTGTGATAACGCCAGGGACATCTTTTTCTATAAAACAGAACAAAATAATTAGTCATATAAATAAATCTATATTCTATAAAGTCCAATCAAATTGTTCCGAAAATTTGAGATGGCTACAAAAATTAGAGTAGTTGCGATTTGATGATACGTTGTCTTAGTCGGTATAATGTTGTAACATCCAACTTTTCTTATTATTCCCGCCTTCGGAAGCGGCACCATTTTATTAAATTCTATCCCTATTCTATAGTATCAGTAAGAAAATATTTATACGCTACTTTTATTACTTGTTTTACTCTTCAAAGTACGTAATACATTTCGAGGTAGAGCTCTTCGAACCATTAGATTTTTACAAAAAAATATGAAAAGTTCAAATTCCATATAGGTTATTGTTCAGCAACAACTAAATAATGAATCCTACAACTAAGTTTGACTTTGAAGATTTATTTTATTGGTATTTATTAAAAACAAAATGGTTAAAGGGTATTTAATGATTATTATTTTGTTGCTGCCTACCAGTGGACCAACTGAGAATTTGAATTTCCATATATTTATATGTATATATACTTTTGTTATTCTTAAACCTCAAGCAGCATCGTTTCAGAAAATATTACAGCTAAAAGTTTCATTCTAGCCTTAACAATTTGGCAATTAAATTATTTAAACACATAACTTATTCTTGAGATCCACCAATGGTGGTTGGACAACAAATGACAAGAGGAAACACAAAACTCCTATCGTTTTTATCATTAAAACATATTACCATCATGTTCTTATAGTTATATATTATCCATGATGTATTTCGCTGATGGAAGACTTAAATAAGAAGTTAGTAATCGTTTGGATAGCAACGCATGTGGGTATTAAGGGAAATGAAGGGGCCGATAGGGCAGCCAAGGAAGCAGTATTATCTTCATTAGAGGTCACGAATATAAATACTACTTTACATATATGCGGCTATTTGAAATGACAAGCTAAAAAGACGTGGGACTAGCGTTGGGAAAACATCGATGGACATAATAAGTTGAAAATTATCAAATGAGAAACTAAATAATGGAACAGTTCTAGCCGAAAAAATAGAAAAGAACAAGTTGTCATTATCCAATAAATTTATTTCAAATCCGAAATCCAATCCTACCCACACCGAAACAGTAGAGGAATTCCTTACAATACTTATCCCACTTTCCTTTACACTTAAAGCAATTCATCCTTTCTAAATGAAAGTTCAATTACAAAAACTAATCCCTCGTAAATCTCCTGCATATGGTCTTCTTACCCCTCAGATCCTTCGACAACTTCTATCCAAAGCAGTCATATTACTTACATATATCTACTACTGTATCCTACTAACCACCGACTTTCCTCTATTATGGAAACGCTCCACTATTATCCTTTTCCCCAAACCAGACAAACCTGCCAAGAGCTTGAGACGACCAATTAGCTTTCTCCCAATCCTTTCAAAATCTTTAAATATATGCATGTGTGCCCTGGACGATTGTTTTTGTTAAGTTTATACAAGGCATGATAAATAGAATTGTACATAGTTAATAAAATAAATATATTTTTTTTTGTTATTATTATTATTTTTACTGTCCTAATTATCTTTATATTTATCTTTACGTTGCATATAGTTATTGTATTTAAATTTTCTCTTTTTTCCTAGTGTTTTATTCATTTTGCTTGTACATATTATTAATTCAGCATATCGATCACTAACTTGAAATACCTTTTTTTTGTTGCTTTAGAAAATCTAACCTAATCCTGGTGGCATGAATATTATTATGGTCAAAGATTAATGGATAAGTAATTATTTATAGTTTCTATATTTGTCACTTTGGGGATTAAAGGCGAAAATAACGAGGTGACCAACAAGTTCAATGTAGAAAATGATTTAATATTTTTTATTTACCTTTTTTTTGTTACAGTATGGTAATCAAGCGTCACGATCAAGTTAACAGCTTTTCCCCCGAATATTGATGACACGCGCCATTTCATAATTCTCAAACAAATTTATACAAGCAATGGCTTGTCATCGTTAAACCAATAAATATAATGATGAAAAATTATATTTTCAGAATGTTATATAGCCAGTTAAAGTCCTCGTGGAAATACTCCACTTCAATTACATCGTATATCATTGTCCTTAGACCAGATTGAACAAAGCGTCTTTGGAGATGTATTGCTGTGTCAGGCACTCCACTATTGACATTCCGGTATCCATGCCTCTCGATTTTATTAAAAAGAAGAAAAATAGAGGCATATCAAGTTAAGGTATGGTTCTCCAAATCATTTGGTCCATTGAGAGACCTTTAACAAGTCCCGCGGACACGGATTGTGAAGAAAAAAAACTTGTTCTATAAGTGACACTCCACGTGAAAAAATATCATGCAATAAAAGTTGTAATAACTTTATGTTTGAATGATTTACTTATTTTCATATTTTTTAAAATGTTATCATGTAATGAATGAATCCTAAATTCCTGATTTAGGATGGAAATTTTTGTCCTCCAGCAATCAAATAAATTGTGGAGAAATCTGTGTCTTACCTTGTGTTACATCTTCAATCACTCAATTGATTTGTTTCAGTACAATAAAAACCTATAAACATACCTTCCAAAAACAGTTCGAACTGCAGATATTATTCTACGTTATAAATGTATCAAATAATTATAAAGAAATATTTGAATCTAATATGAAACGAATAGTTTGAAATTTTACGTACCTGCTTTGAATTCAATTGTTATAGATGGTTGTGTATTCCGTTTTAAAACGCAAGGTGGTTGAGAACACGAACTTATAGTGACTTTATCATTAGGTAGCTGCGCTAAACCATTGTCTGAAACAAATATACATCAGGCAAATAAGTATAAACAATATAAATTAAATATAATTTACTAGTACGATGTATGTAAACACATGTACATAAGGACAAATTCATCATTCCTACACCCGGATATTATTAGTGTATATATATATATATATATATATATATATATATATATATATATATATATATATATATATATAAGTTATGATTCGACTGAAGAAATAACAACACAGCTTATGGGAATGAAGTTGCTTTATTTTAAACTCTTATATATGATTTCAACACTGTATTAATACAACACTTTTATAACCTCACCTTTTTGTTATCTATCAATTCTCTATATTAACATGTGTTTTAAAACAATTATTTAGCTTATCTTAAGAATAATAATTATATACATCCTATATACAGTTAACTTATATATATATATATATATATATAAGTTAAGAAATAAACCAGTCTTGATTTCGTCTTCATGCGTGTTATTTCTTAACCCTTGTACTTTTTTTAAAGTGTTTCAAGCCCGCTACGCTTAACTGGTGCCGAAACCCGGGACGGTGAAAGAGGTACGTTTTTTTTCTCAGTAAGTGAAAACTTTTACGAGGATGCCTGAATTCGACTTGAGGCAGCCGGCTCCTATGAATGTGCCGGAGATCCCTCCGTTACCACAGGGAACTTTAGCCGCAGCGCATGCGAACGCAATTGAGTGGATGAAGATCAGGGTAGCTACTTCACAGGACCTGAGGAAGGCTATATCCGATCTTGAGCGCTTCACTGGAGAAACAGGTGAGCTGAACCACTTTCTAAAAGGGGGAGATCGGATCGTGACGAGGATTAATGCGAAGATAGACGAGAATCTCGTCAATGTCGAAGACGCGGAGGCCCTTAAGGCAGCACTTGTGTGCAGGGTTAAACGGAGTATACTGAACCAGATTCAGGCTGATGAAGAGACGCCGTGGGAGACGGTCAAGCAACGACTGAAGAAAGCCTATGGAGGCGGCAGATGGACGACCGAGGAGGACATCTTCCAGATGTTCCGCGAGATGAGGTCTTCACGGCAGTCTAATGGGCAGTATGCGGCGACACTCATAGCGCATTATAATCGTATTACGGAAAAAATGCGGGAAACAGCAGGCGCTCCGGAGGTAGAAGCAAAAATGGCCTTTTTGTCTACAATATTGAAGGTTCAACTGGCGAAGGAAACCGGGAAGAAGGACGGCTTACCTCGGGAAAGAACATTTATTGAGTGCGCTCAAGAGATGGTAGACTCCAGCGACCGAGAGGAAGAAAGCCGGCTAGAGGTGGAGGAACCAGGCTGGAATCGGATCGGCTATAGAAGGCCTAGGAGTACACCGATGACCTGGAGAAGGAGAGAGTCCGCATACAACGGAAGAGAGAAGCACATGGGAGCGGAGCGAAGACCAGGGCAGAAATAGAGCGAGGGCTAGCCAACGGAAAGAAGACAGAAAATGTCACGGCTGTGGGAAGAGCGGACACTTGGTGGCACAGTGTCCCCGCACGAAATGCTTCGAGTGCGGGACGGAAGGACACATTGCGAGGCAGTGTCCGTATATCTATTCGAGAAGAGACAGAGACCCACAACGAGCAGAGCCGATGGAGGTGAATGCGCAAGGTCTGAGGAGAAGAAGGGTGCAGTCCAGGAGACGTGACTCATCGACGGAGGCTTCAGAAGAATCTGCAACCACCGAGACCGAGGAAGAACCAGAGGACCCAGTAAGCCGGGAAAACGAGAGGAGCGGAGAAGGGAGGAGAGGCAGTGGAAGAAGCGGACGGCGGCCAGCAGTAGAGAGGATCTGAGGAGAGTGTCAGGCGAGAGGTGACCGCACGCTAGTAAATTATAGCATTCGAGGGAAAAGCTGCTGGTTACCAATAATAGAGGCGAGAGGAGTGAGGTGCCTGGTAGACACCGGGAGCTCCAATACCATTATGACGCGTGGAGTGTTGGAGAAGCTGTACGGGGGAGAGAGGACACTCCAAATCAAGGTATGTAGTTGTAAGTTAATCACCCTGGGTGGCCCGTGTGGAGTGGAAGGGGAAGTGGAGATAGGATTGAGGGGATGGGCGGCCAAGGGAGGTAAACTTACGGTGCATGTGGTGGGAGAAATGCCCCGGGAATATCAGGCAATTATAGGTTGTGACATGCTGGGAAAGGTGGGCGTGCGAATCTCGAATAGGAGAAAGGAGTGGAGAATAAAAATAGGGAATGTGAACTATACGAGCAGGGCAGCAGTAAAGTATGAGGTCGATAGGGCGCGCATAGGAGCTATAAGTCGAGCCGAGGATTGGAGAGTTACAGTGAGAAGGGAGTTCGAAGACGTTTTCTTTAAGGAGGGGGATAAATTGGGGGTGACAGGTAAAACGGTGCACGAGATCCCTTTAAAGCACGAGAGGGTGAGTTACGTGAAAGAGAGGAGATATCCGCAGGCGCTTCGTCAACACATTAGGGAAGAGTTGCAGAGCTTAAAGAACCAGGGCATAATCGTGGATAGCACGTCGCCTTACAACAGTCCGCTATGGGCAGTGAAGAAGAAAAGCGCACCGGGAGAGAATAAGGAGAAATACCGAGTCGTGATCGATTACCGCAAATTGAATGAAAATACGGTAGATGAGAAATATCCAATCCCGAAGTTTGAAGACATTTTGGATAGGCTAAGCGGGGCAATGGTGTTTAGCACTTTGGACTTAAAGGCGGGATACCATCAAATTCGAATGCTCCCAATAGACCAGCCGAAGATGGCATTTACATTCGAGAGAGGGCACTACGAATTTACTAGGATGCCGTTTGGGCTCAAGAATGCCCCTATAACATTCCAGCGGTTGATGGACGAGTTTCTCAGAGGAATTGATGAAGGAGTCTGTCAGATTTACATGGATGATTTGTTGGTGTTTAGCAAAACCGAGGCAGAGCATGTGGAGCACCTACGGAGTGTGTTCGAGAGAGTGAGGCAATTTGGGTTGAAATTGTCAAACGAGAAGTCGGGGACAAGACCGCATCAATTTTTTAGGCCACACGATTTCAAGCGAGGGAGTCAAACCAGACGCGCAGAAGGTAGAGGCAATTCGGAAAATGGAGATACCTCGGGACGTTAAAGGGATTCGCAGGCTGTTGGGTACCCTCAACTATTATAGAAGATTCGTGCCCGAAATGGCGGAATACCTCGTGCCCCTTAACAACTTATTAAAGAAAGGCAGAAAGGTAATAGTGACCCCTATAATGGAGGATAATATTAGGAGATGCATGGCGAAACTGCAAGAGGAACCAGTGTTGGCATTTCCGGATTTTTCGAAAGTATTCACCATAACGACAGACGCTAGTGAATACGCGTTGGGGGCGGTGTTGTCACAAGAAGGGAATGGGGGGGAGCGCCCCGTAGCGTATGCCAGCAGGCGGCTTACGGACGCAGAAACCAGATATAGCGCGCTGGAAAGAGAACTGTTGGGGATTGTGTGGGCGATCGACCATTTTAGACCCTACGTGTTTGGGAGGAAGTTCCGTGTGCACACGGATCATAGACCTCTACAATGGGCAGGCAAGCTGAAGGAGTCCTCGGCTAGAGTCACACGTTGGAAGGAATTCCTGACTCAATACAATTTGGACATCGTATACAAACCTGGGAAGGAGAACGTGGTGGCAGATTGGTTGTCAAGGGCAATCACCATAAATGCTATAGAGGAGGACACGGGAGAATCATCCAGGGATGTGAGACAGTTCCTGAGTGAGTGGACGCCAGAGGGAGAGGGAGGTCAGATTGGGGATGAGTCCCCAGGACATGAAAGTCCAGAGGAAGAGAGATCAGCGGATATGGAAGAACGGGAGGAAATCGTCAACGATAAGAACCGCCAGATTATCTGGAAGACCAGGACGTCGGGTATGATGAAGATACTATACAGCAAATATGGAAACAGCCGAATAACAACCATTTGGTCACAATCAGGGGCCAGCGGGGACCAGATCTGCAGAGCTTTAAAAGACGTGTCTAAAGCAAGGAAAATTCACCACTTATATGTGGAGAATGAAACGATTTAGGAGAAGATAAAAAGGCTATGGCAGGATGAACGATTGGGGATAGATAGGACGTTCATCCGGTGTAAGCTGATGATGGAAACGGTGCGGGACGAGGAACGACAGAAAGAAGTGACTCTTGCTTACCATCAGGGCAAAATGAACCACCGCGGAATGCAAGAGACATTCCAGGCGTTACGTCGTAGGTATTTTTGGTGGGGTATGAAGAAAACAATCGAGGAAGTCATAGGGGCGTGTGAGATTTGCCTAAGTACGAAATACGATAGACACCCCCCCCAGAACAATGCAGGAGGAGACACCCACAGTGGAGGCACCGCTCAGCGACTTGCAGGTGGATACGTTCACGTGGAAAGGGTACAAGTGGGTCACGCTCATAGACCTCTTTAGCAAAGCCGCGATGGCACACCGGGTGCAGGACCGATCAGCAGAGACAGTCTTCGGAGCCCTTCAAACGTGGCACCAATTTTACGGAGTGCCCGATCGCATAACGTCCGACAATGCTAAGATCAGAGAGGAAATGAAGAGCTTAGGGGTGAAGTGGCATTTCAACACTCCAGGGCACCCTAAGGGTAGGGGGAGTATAGAAAGACTGCATAGCACTCTCAGTGACCACCTCAGAGTATACCAGGTGGAAAAAGGGCTGGAACCGGACATGGCAATGCAGAAGGCGGTGGCAGCATACAACCATTCGATCCATACGGTAATGGGGTTCTCTCCATTTGAAATCCTCTTCGGACTACGCGGGCGGCAACGGGACTGGGAAAGCACAGCTGTGGATGAGGAAATGACGAGAGGAATCATTAGCAATAAAATGGAATTGGGCAATCTGTGGGAGAAGGTTAAAGGAAAGATAGAGGGAGAAAAGCGTAAAAGAGTGGCGCGGGAGAATTTGAAAGTAAAGGAGATAACAGGGGGATTGAGGATCGGGTCCATCGTGTATCGCAGGATAGGGTCTAACAGGGGA